CTAAAACCCTAAACATAACACAAAGCCAGCACGGAAGGACCGAAGCCCTCTGCAGGCTTTTGGGCTCAAGCCGCATTCAGGAGCATATAACTTCGTAGCCCCGGATAATGAAACCGTAAACCGTTTACCGTAAACCCTAAACCCTAAACCCTAAACCCTAAACCCTAAACCCTAAACCCATTTCTCGGGGTTGGCTACTTTCTTTCAGGGGATGGGGATGTTCCCCCTTATGCTAATGGTCCTTAATTGGGATTATGGTACCCACGACTACAATCCCTATTGAAGACTGTTAGTATAAGGGGAGCATCCCAATAAGGGAACCTTGAGCCAAAAAAGGGAGAGGGTACCACTGCGCTACCAAGATAAGCTTCCTGTTGTGAGGGTTCAGGGTTTTAGGGTTTAGGGTTTAGGGTTTAGGGTTTAGGGTTTAGGGTTTAGGGTTGGGGGTTCTGGGAGTCGTCTCGGGTAAAAAGCGGCCGGCGGCTTCCGAGTAAGCAGCCTCCGATGCCTCAGGGCGCGGCGCCGAAGAAAAAGAGGAAGGATGCCTTCGGTTTAGGGTTTAGGGTTTAGGGTTTAGGGTTTAGGGTTTAGGGTTTAGGGTTTAGGGTTTAGGGTTTAGGGTTTAGGGTTTAGGGTTTTAGGGTTTAGGGTTTAGGGTTTAGGGTTTAGGGTTTAGGGTTTAGGGTTTAGGGTTTAGGGTTTAGGGTTTAGGGTTTAGGGTTTAGGGTTTAGGGTTTAGGGTTTAGGGTTTAGGGTTTAGGGTTTAGGGTTTAGGGTTTAGGGTTTAGGGCGGAGCGCTTCTTCGGGATTGTCGGGCTCAGGGCTAACAGACCCTGGAGCCCCCAAACCCTAAACCCTGAACCCTGAACCCTGAACCCTAAACCCTAAACCCTAAACCTTAAACCCTAAACCCTAAACCCTAACCCTAAACCCGGAACCTTAAACCCTAAACCCTAAACCCTAAACCCCCCCTAAAACCTGAACCCGGAACCCTAGACCCTAAACCCCGAACCAGAATTTCACCGAAAATCTGCAGAGTTTAGGGTTTCAGGCTCAGGGTTCAGGGCTTAGGGTTTAGGACATCCTCTATCTTAACTGCAGTTCCCTGCGGCAGCGTTTAGGGTTTAGGGTTTAGGGTTTAGCGCATGTCCCTTGCACAGGGTAGAAGGGTACTTCACTGGGAACTTCGACCAAACTCCAAACCCAGGACTCCAAACCCCATAACTACCAGGGGTTTAAGGGTTTAGGCTTTAGGGTTTTGGGTTTAGGGTAACCCCTAAACCCTAAACCCTAAACCCTAAACCCTAAACCCTAAACCCTAAACCCTAAACCCTAAACCCCTAGCCCCTAGCCCCTGAGAGACCCCTAGAAAGCCCAAACCCACGCGTGAGCCTCACCAGAAACGCCCCCACTTTCTGCCACGGTCACGGCCGCAGCCTTAGGTTTGAATGTTGTGCTTGATTTGGGGTTCAGGGTTTAGGGTTTAGGGCTCAGGGCTCAGGGCTCAGGGCTCAGTGGGGTTTAGGGTTTGGGGTTTCGGGTTTAGGGCTTAGGGCTTAGGGTTTAGGGCTTAGGGTTTAGGGTTTGGGGTTTTGGGTTTTGGGGTTAGGGTTTAGGGTTTAGGGTTTAGGGTTTAGGGTTTAGGGTTTAGGGTTTAGGGTTTAGGGTTTAGGGTCCACGGTTTAGGGTTTGGGCCAAACCACACTTGCTTACTAATAAGCGTGCAGAGCGCAGAGTGTGCAAAGACTGAAAGCTCCGAGGTCTGCAGGGTTTTCGGCTTGTAAGGTTCAGGGTTTAGGGTTCAGGGTTCAGGGTTAAGGGTTTAGGGTTTAGGGTTTCGGGTTTGGGGCTGGCTGTCAGAGTTCATCACTGTTGACAAAGTCTGGGAAGCGTGGCAAACTCTTAAATCTTCTCAACCCCCCTAAACCCTAAACCCAAACCCTAAACCAACCCCCCTAAACCCTAAACACCCTAAACCCTAAACCCTATAACCCCAAACCCTTAACCCTAAAGCCCTAAACTCCCATGACTTGGTTCCTCAAGTCTGTAGACTCCTTGGCCGAAGGCCCCCTGACTCATTCATCTTGGGCGGTGCTGTCATATTCGGATGGTTCAGTTCACTAGTCAGTGAATTGAAATGTCTGGCTTCTCAGTTGGGAATCCCTAGAAAAACCGAAGATATAAGTTCCCACAGACCGGACGGCCCACCGCAATTGGGTTTCAGGGCTTATGAGGTACTTTTGGTAAGTCTTCTGCTGTAGCGGTAGGGTTTGGGGTTCAATGTTCCGGGCGCGGGATTCTGTGTCAAATATTTGAGCTCCGGGTACACTGCGCTTCTCAACTAGGGCAGAAGAAGAGGACCGCGAGGGGGGGGGGGGGGGGGGGGGGAGAGGAGGGCGTACCCTAAACCCTAAACCCTAACCCGCCCGCCACCCCACTCTCTTGTCTTTTGGGGGTAGGCGGGCGCTGGTCGAGCGCTCAGCGAGACCCTGCGAGGGAGCCCCAGGCGGGCGACCGAGCTGGCCTCCAGGCTGGCTTACCCTCCAGGCAGGCACAGGCCGAGTCAGCAGTTGTCACTGTACTATATTATATTACCCTAAACCCCAAGCTGTCCACGCACATAGTTGGGTCCTGCATTGGAGGTCCCCTGGGACGGCCCCTTGAGACCCCTGGTCCCTCACCCCCGTCCGCTGGGTGAGTTTTGTTGGGGTTTTTAGGTTTGTCGCCGCCCTGGCCCTCTGCCTTGGCCCTGGCCCTGGCCCTGGGCCTCCCCTGGCTCCGCGCACCAGTTTGCGTCCTGTTTCGGGGCGCTCTCCCTCTAACTTTAGCCCCTTCGCGCCAACCCAATCTGTCCTGCCTCGCTTTTGTTTGCTGTAACTTTGTGCCTGGTCCTGACCCTGGCCCGGCACCCCACCTTCGCGCCGAGCCAAGGTATCCGCCACACCAGCCCTGTTTCCGTGGCGCTCTGCCCAACCCAAGCTGTTCACTGTGTGTTCTTCCTGGCTGGAGCCCCTTCACGCCAACCAAGCCTCGCTGCCTTTCTCTGTTCCTAGCCCATCCCTTAGCCCCTTCGCGCCAACCCAAGCTGTCTTCACGGACCCTGCCTCGTTTCCGTCTGCTGCAGCTTTGCGCCTGGTCCACGCACCTTGTGGAAATCCCCAAAAAGGGCGTGAGTGCTGACTCATGTGATGCTTTGTGAAAAAATAAAAGGTCTTAACTCCTTGAGAGTTGTAAGTGGGGTGGGTAGGTCTGCAGACTACCGCGCGCTCCCAAAGCGCGCTCCCGTTTGGCACGCCCTAAACCCTAAACCCTAAACCCTAAACCCTAAACCCTAAACCCGAAGCCCTTACCCAACAAATTCCAGGAACTTGGGGTCTGGAGCAATATGGCGGAAGAAACTGCAACACGCCAAAGATGATAAACGCACTCAATCTCGGACAAGCCTCAGAAGAAACACATGTTCAGAAAGGCTGGGGTTCCATGTGGTGTGGGGTTTAGGGTTTAGGGTTTAGGGTTTAGGGTTTAGGGTTTAGGGTTTAGGGTTTAGGGTTTAGGGTTTAGGGTTTAGGGTTTAGGGTTTAGGGTCTAGGGTTTAGGGTTTAGGGTTTAGGGTTTAGGGCTTAGGGCTTAGGGCTTAGGGTTTAGGGTTTAGGGTTTAGGGTTGAAGGATTTAGGGCCGAGGGTGCAGAACAGGCACACAGAACACGCCGATGAGAAGGCATAGCCACTCGGGCGCGGACGGCGTCCTGCTCAGCGGCGTTTACGGCTTAGGGTTTAGGGTTTAGGGTTTAGGGTTTAGGGTTTAGGGTTTAGGGCTTAGGGCTTAGAGCTTAGGGCTTAGGGCTTAAGGCTTAAGGCTTAAGGCTTAAGGCTTAGGGTTGGGGTTCCAAAGTTCAAAGCTTCAGGAAAAGATATCTACTCCAAACACTGAAGAGCCGCCTCACCTCAAAAACCGTAAGCCCTAAGCCCTAAGCCCTAAGCCCTAAGCCCTAAGCCCTAAACCCTAAACCCTAAACCCTAAACCTTAAACCCTAAAGCCTAAACCCTAAACCCTAAACCCTAAACCCTAAACCCTAAACTCCAAACCCCAAACCCTAAACTAAACCCTAAACCCTAAACCACAAGTCATCTGGCGCCAAACCTCTAAGCCTTGAACTGTATGTCTCCCAGACGCAAGGAGCTTGTGGGGCTTTAAGGTTTGGGGTTTGGGGTTTAGGGCTAGGGTTTAGGGCTAGGGTTTAGGGTTTGGGTTTTGGGTTTTATAGAGCTTCGGTCATAGCTGAAAGCCTCAATCTCTCAACTTTAGCCTTCGTGGACCCACATGGACCCACCCTAAACCCTAAACCCTAAACCCAAAAATTCGCTAAAACTTGAACATGTTGAATGCAAACGCAGCTTTTCCAGCCACGCCAGAGTCGTTTTGTGGTGGTGACCACCACTGTTGGCCCCACGCTGGCCTAAGGCCAAGTGGGGCGAAGGAAATGCCATCAGCCGAGCTGTGCACAGCACTGTAGCCTGCAAGCTCCTAGCAGTCACCAGGGCTTTTCTTTAGGCTTTTACTGTACCAACAGCCTGCACAAACAGATCAAAAAGGCGAGGATTGAGTCATGGCTGAAAGATGGCATCCTTTCCTTCTTCCGCCCCGGCCCGGAACTGAATCCACCGGGTTGGGTAGGGTGGGAGCCTCAAATCTAACATACAACGGCCTTGCTTCAAGCTGGCAGTGCTTACAACATGCTTGCTGCTACACTCGCCCGTTACACATACTTCCATGTTGAATGCAAACGCAGCTTTTCCAGCCACGCCAGAGTCGTTTTGTGGTGGTGACCACCACTGTTGGCCCCACGCTGGCCTAAGGCCAAGTGGGGCGAAGGAAATGCCATCAGCCGAGCTGTGCACAGCACTGTAGCCTGCAAGCTCCTAGCAGTCACCAGGGCTTTTCTTTAGGCTTTTACTGTACCAACAGCCTGCACAAACAGATCAAAAAGGCGAGGATTGAGTCATGGCTGAAAGATGGCATCCTTCACTTTTCCAAACTGGCCAAGGGCCGTCAAGATTTCAACCTAGCATGCATCATGCGCGCTAGGTGGCGTTGCTCTGGTGTCAGAGACAGGTGGCTAACAGCTGCTGCTGCATCCTGGAGGTAGATCCTGGCCGTGCTGGTGCTGGCCCAACGTCCACGCAGAAGCGTGCGCTCCATACTAGAGTGGCGAAGAAAGTCCCATGTGGCACCCCCTCGGCGCAAAGAGTAAACATTCATCAAACCTTCCACTTCAAAGAACGCGACTAACGCATGAAATAGCTTGCGAAAGAAGGTCTGACCCCTTTCAAGCAGCAAGGCGTGTTTGGGTCTCGAGAAACATGCCTTCTTAAGCCACTTGCAAGCGATGCTGGACTCGAGCACCACCATCTCAGAGTGCCCGGTGCGTTTGCCTGCCTTGCTTTGCCCAAGATTAAGTACGGCTCCACGTCGAAGGAATTGTACGTCAGCTATTCGAAGGTTATACAGCTCGCCTGACCGGAGCATTGCATCGAACGCTACAAGCAGTCCAGCAGCTTCCTCCGAAAAGCCCATCGCGACAGCAGCGCCTGCAAAGCCCAGCACCAATAAAGGGCTGATCGGTAGCACTCTAAGTGGTGGTTCCAGTCGTTGCCAGACTTTTGCAAGTTTCCATGAGTGCTTGAGCTTCCCCACAGCTTACGGGATGAAAAACTGGACCCCGGCCAGAGCATCACTTACGAGGGATTTGTGCTCACCCTCGGAGTAAGCGTACTCAACCCAAGCGCTAACAGCCGTATCCAAATCACTCCAGGCCGGCACTTGGATGCTTGAGTTCACCAAGAAACTCAACACCACCAATGCTGCTTTTTGGTAGCGATGCCTCATCCCAGCTGTGACCATTTGGTCTTTCAAAGTCGTGCCCGTCCGCTGCTGCTTCCGGCGCTGCTTTTCCGTTGGCCCAATCTTTGTTCGGCCCATCGCGAGGGAATATCGGAAGGATTGGAGTCTGTACTCACATAGCCCACAATCAGAATGAGACCTGAAGCTAGAAGCAGGCAGTTCAACTTCGACAGCCCTTTCCTGAGCCTGAAGCTGCTTGTCCGCCCCTTTGCCACAATAGCACACACAACCTGACTGTCAATCAAATGTAGTGCGCGGTATGGTTCAGAATGGAGTTTACGAAGTCTCCACTTTACTGCGTTTGTAACAGCCTGCAGCTCAAGGACATTTATGTGGGCACAAGTTTTCCAAGGGTAACCGTGAATCACACTCCAGTGGAATAGAGAGGAGTTCAACCCTGAACGAGGCCAAGCCTGCATGCGAAAAGGCACGCCAACATCAAGGCGGATGTCCGTCCCTCCTCGCTCAGCCTGGCGGATGAAGTGCAGCACTAACTCTGCCGTGTCTTTGGTTTCCAGGCATCTAGGGACAAATCGTGGGTACAGCAGCCAGCCGGCACTGGCTTCCCCTTGACCCTGAACCAAAGCACGCAAGTCCCTGGATTCTGGAATCCCATAGTTGACAAGCAAGCTGTGCATGAGCACGGCAATCACATTCACGTGCAAAGAACCTCCAAGCATGCTCCCAACTAAATCAAAACGCTCCTCATCTGTGAGCTTAGGGGTGATTGCACGTGTCACGTAACCTCGGTCAAATCCCATGAGCATTTCGCGCTCAGTGGGAGAGGGGAGGCGTAGCGAACCTTCTGAAGTCGTGACCATCGCATCTTGCTCGTAATCGCACACCGGCAGGCGGTAGCGGTCTTTAGCCCAACGTTCTTTTGCTGACTCACTCGCAGCAGCAAGTCCTGTAGGGTCTTTCGGTGGACGAGCCCTTTTTCGCGGGCGCGTCAGCGTTGGGAGCCAACTTTGTTTGTCTCTGTTCCAGTGACACCCCGCATCCAGCCACTCAGTGTCACAACCTCTAGTTAGTGGAAGACGAAGTTCAAGATAGTCCCCCTGGTCAAAGAGCTCTTCTTCGCCCAGAGCTTGGACTTCCCATGAACACCAGAAAAGACGGGGGCGATGGCACCAAGACAACCACTTCGCGTCAAGTAGTACAGGTTTGGTGCGGAGCACTGAGCTAAATGCTTTGCGATTCTCTTCCGTCATGTTGAAAATGTTTTTCCACGAAGAAATGAACAGGCACACTGAAGACCTCCTTCAATAAACAGATAATTCGCGGTATCGCAAGAAAAAGTTTGGAGCGCTCCCCTTGCAGACCCAGCCCTTTATTCGGCGGTGCCTTTAGATCTTGGCAAGGACTCCCAGCTCCAACTACAACCAAATCAACCTTTCCTTGTAGGCTGCGGTGTAGCTTTTCCACGACTGCGCGATCGACGTCTAGGACACTTCCCAGTTCAAGAATACCGGGCCACCTACGCCGGGTTACCTTTTTACAGTCCTTGTCGATTTCAGCGCTGGCGTACCCGACAACTTGACACGGCAACCTTGCTAAGGCACACACGAGGGCACCCAAACCATCGAACAGTGACATGGCCAACACTCGGACCCCTGTTCCCTTGTTGTAGGTTGCAGCGCCTGCAGGGCGAAAGGCCGGCACGTCACCGGCACGAAGATTGCCTAAAACTGCATTGCCTTCCTCTGTAAGCCCGGCACTGGCGCACAGACCAGCCCCCAACAGAGAGGCATCGGAACAAGTGATCATGCCGTTAGGAGGCGTCCTGATAGAGCTAACTGCTAAAGGCAGACAACACAGAGCACGGATCAGTTCGCGCGTAGCGGAGGCTCTTAAACTTCGCTTGAAAAACCAGTTTCCACGAGGCCACACTTCGTTGAGCAAACCCATCAATGGCCTTCTGAACTCGAAGCAGCGCACTAAACGCCCCAGCGTCATAAGAAGCGCTTTCTGGCTAGCACAACTTTGGCCGCACATCCAGGCGCACATCCACCCGACTTCTAACAGCTTTTCTGGAGGTACAGAGATAAAACCGCGATCCCCATCTATGTGAGCTCCCATACGGTTAACACTCAACTCTCGTTGATGGGCCTTGTCCTCGGAGATGCCCACGCCTTGTCGCTCGTAAGCGGCTCGCTGACGGCGATGAGTTGCCGACAAAGTACCTTGCAAGGCTTTCCAATCTTTGCGCGCGACAAATTCAGGGCAGTCAAAGTCATCTAGGTAATACTGGATCCAACCTCCATTGATCTCTGTTGCTGTTAGAGGCACGGGACAATCCCTGCGCCACTCCATTTCCTGTGGGAGGCCGGCACCGGCAGGCACCGGCGAAATTCCCAGTTGTCTATGAAGGTGTTGGAACAAACTCACAGCATTCACCCATCCCATAGGAATTACAGCAGACGCCAAATACACAAGCCCTTTACTTGGCAACCCAATATCTTTGCCTTGTACAGGCCAACGAAAAGCAAGGAAGGGTCGCCAAGCCTCGGGTAGAGCCCATGCGTAGAAGGCCCCCCGCTGATCGTCGCCCGACCAGAGCAGGACCTGCGTGGGTCTGAGGTAGGCAGCAGTCCATTGAGAAGATGAGCTCAGGGTAGGCAGGTCCCCTGTCATTAACCGTTGAATGGAATTGGAAGGGACACAGTTCATTATAAGCCGGGTAATGCGGCATTGTCCAGGAGCCGGCGCTCCCTTTTTCTCCACTGAGAAGATCCCATTTAACAGCGGTTTTCCGCGAACTTTAAAAATGTCCTGGCTGTCGATAGGAGTCAGAATTCGCTTTTCAACCAGAACTCTAGCAATCATCGGCCACTCGCTCTTTTCACAGTTCATGGATGCGGAGGGCAAAGGATCAGGCCATTGGTCTTCGGGCAGGATGCACTCCATGGGATTCTGTAACCATTTCAGGACATCCCCTGAGGCAACCGACGCTGCCTTCAAGGTCCCCGCCACGTTGTCCGCCGGAAGACCAGGCAATATCTCTCCCAGCCTCACGGGCAAAGCGTGCAACACCTCCTCACCCGCATAGTCAACACCCTTACTTCGGACCAACTCCTCGAAACAACGGCCTACCCTCAAGTCCAGCGGGGATCTAACAAAGTACTCGACCAAGCAGGAAATGTTCCTAAGGGCCGCCTGTTGTGAGGAGCTTGGGGCACTGTCTCCAAGAGGGAAGAGTACGCCATTCCAGCCTATATACTCCCCATTGAGAGTAGCGACAACCAGAAACCTCCAAAGTTGAGCAGTGCCAGCCATGATCAGCTTTTGTTGCTTCTGCTTTCTCTTCTTGTGGTTTGGGCCTGGGGACCAAGTCAGAAGACCCGAGGGTGACCTTACGCACTGTTCAAGTAATTGCAAAGCAGCTCCTATGGGCGGCAGAGGCAAAGGTAACAAATCCCTCTGACGCGAAGTAGGCGCGGCTGTTTCTCGAATCCTGGAAAGCAGTGACGCCTTGACCAGTTGCCCATCCAGCGGGCTTAGAAACAGGAGCTGCAGCGCTGTCACCCCTAATTGCAAAATGTGCTGCTGTTCAGGCAAACCTGCTAAGAAGTAAGAGTGAATCGAAGCATGGCCCTCAAAACGAACAACGTCCAACAACTGCAGCAACCTCGCTTCGGCACTGTGGCTAGTGATACCCCCCAGGCCGGCACCTGAGGCTGTACTTGGCTCACTCAAACCGGCCGGCGGATTAAAAATGCACGGGGCGCTCCCCGGAAGAAAACCCTGACCGACATCAGGGGGAGCCGGTGAGCCGTCGCTCACCTCTCGCCTTTGGCTGTCTTGAAGACTCTGTCCTTCCACGCCTTGCGGGTTTCTCCCTGCTTGCGTGGAGTGCTCTCTCTCGCATCTCGGAGGCCCATGGTCTTCACCTTGGCAGGCTCGTCCGAGAATGACACTTTGCGGTCCGTGCGCTTTCCCTTTTCGCTCTCCGCCGAAGGATCTCTTTTTCTCTGCAAGGGTGGTCGACTGGGTGTGTCCTTCGGTGCCGGAGGCGACATGGATCTCGTCAACTCCTGCGCAGGCTTCGGGTGCAAGGGGTCGCGTTGAGGAGCTGGGGTAGCCCGACCCAGCTCCCCGCGGAGTCCCTAGCCCTTGAGCAGAGCCTCGGACTTCGCCGCCTTGACCGCCAGCTCCCGGGCAAAGAAGACCTCATCACTGGTCACCCCCAGACTTTCTTCTGGGATGAGCTCCAAGACATGACCGAACTTTTCAGTTCCATCACGTAGTCCCATAACGAGGCTCTTGAAGCGCTGAACCAAAAGGTCACCGACCGCATCGACCTTGCCCTTGAGCAGGAGGTCCACTGCCTGAGCCAGCGTGCGCAGCTCCCGGTACTTCTCGGTGCCATGCAGCTTTCCTGGGAAGCTCGGGACCACCATGGTGAGCAAGTAGCGAACCAGCACCGGCGACAAGCTGTCACTGGCTTCCTCTCCGGTTACAGACCCCAGCTGTTCATGCAGGCCTTGTAGTGAATCCATCAGCAGCTTGCCCGGCTTGTCATCTGCGATCTTGCGAAGCCTCCGGCGTTTGTTTTGCCAAGACGAGGAGGCTGGCTCGTCAATCACGAGGTCGTCCTCCTGATCATCTGAGTCCTCTTCGCTGTCATCTTTCTCTGTCCGGCCGCCACCGGGGGAGAGTGCCTTCTTGAGCTCATCCAGAATCCCTTTCTTCTTCTTCTTTTTCTTCGGCTTCTGACTGACTTCTGTAGCACGTGCAGCCAACACCGAGCCTGTGCTTCGTCCAACTCGCGCCTCGGCCTGCTTGCCGCGCAGTTTGGCCCTCAAATGAGCCAACCTGTCGTCCACCTTCTTGCTGCTCAAAGGGGACTCCAGGTTGACATCGCCTTCGTCTAGCATAACATCAAGGGCAGCAGCGTGACCGACATCACGTTGCTTCGGACCCCTCTTTTTGCTGCGCCTCAATGGTGGCCGAGCCTCTGGTTCATCCTCATCTTCGTCATCGTCCACATTCTGCGGTTCGTCAACCTTTGGCGCAGGAAGACTTGCCAAGCCTTGGCTTTGCCGGGCTTTTGACTTCGGGGCTGGGTTGAGGTCGCCGGCCGGCTTCCTGTCACGCGCGGGAGGCCTTGGCTCAGCTGGCAAGCCTCGACCCCCCCAACTCTTGAGCAAATCATTGGCCTCCTGCCTAGACACAGGAGTCCACCTCTGGATATGGATGGTGTCCTGTCCGCCGAGGGCACGGGCACACCTCATGTGGTGCCTTCTGCAAAGATGGTGGTAAGCATTGCGGGGAAGTCCTCCTCTCTCACCCTCATGCTCAATGTACCATCGATAGTAAGGGTCGCTGCAACCCAAGTACTGCAACTGCACGGAGCATCCCTCGGAATCCTTTTCAAACCTTTGCAGAATCTTTCCCACAGCGTGTCCCAGCTCCTGTCCTCGGTCGCCGTAGACCATGAAAAATATGTAAGCATCTAGGTTCTCGAAGGAAGCGGTGAAATTCAGCTCGCTGCTAGCTGCTCCGTCAATCATGACCGGCAAAGGGATATTACGAGGGACGTCACCCTCATCCCTCCGCCTCCTTGACATAGGGCAAAGCGGCCTACATTCACCTGAGCATCGCCACCTCGAGCCTCAAATCTTGAGCCAAAATGGCACTCGCCCGTTACACATACTTCCAACACTGTCCAAAAGAGCGTTCCAGCTCACCCTTCCTCTCATCCAGGCTCCAAAACGTGCCATAATATGCGTAAGAGGACTCCAGACCTCCTAAGCCCTAAACCCTAAACCCCAGGGTCTTCTTCTACTACTACAACTTTCGGTTTAGGGTTCAAGAAGCCCAAGGTGGAGAAGGGATAAAATTCGGGCCGAATGAACCGTTTCGGCCCCTCCCAAGACCCTAAAACCCCCGCAAGAGCTTGGCTCGGATGGGTGAATAAACCCTTCCAGTCTAGAAACCACCTAAGCGTTAGGGGATTACGGCTTAGGGTTCAGGGCTAGGGTTTAGGGTTTGGGGTTTAGGGTTTAGGGTTTAGGGCTTAGGGCTTAGGGTTTAGGGTTTAGGGCTTAGGGTTTAGGGTTTAGGGCTAGGTCTTAGGAAGGCTTCCGAAGCTTCTGTCTGGCAGCCTCTGCTTGGCGTCCATCGACTGCCTCGGAGCCGGGGTTTAGGGTTTAGGGTTTAGGGTTTAGGGTTTAGGGGTTAGGGTTTAGGGTTTAGGGTTTAGTGTTTAGGGTTTAGGGTTTAGGGTTTAGGGTTTAGGGTTTAGGGTTTAGGGTTTAGGATTTAGGGTTTAGGGTTTAGGGTTTAGGGTTTAGGGTTTAGGGGGGGGGAACGAACGCCCCAAGAGAGCCTAGCGTACGACAAGCTTACGTCTGGCGGTGTAGAACTTGGGATGTGCCCCCTTAGTACACACCATCAAGTGATAGGGATTCTATAGAACCCCCTATCAGAATCCCCAGAAAGGACTCTTCGTAACAGGCGGGAACTTTCCTTAAGCCTATAGCGACTGTAGGGTTTGGGATGTAGGGGCCGCTTAAGGAAAAAAGGCACAAGGATGTTCCCCCTTTTACTAAGAGTCCTTGATAGGGATTATAGTACCCCCTAGTATAATCCATATTCAGGACTGTTAGTATAAGGGGGAACATCCCAAAACACAAGCTCTAGCTACCCTTGAGACGATAGTTGGAAACAATAAGAAAGGAGAAAACAGCACTGAGCACTTGCCCGGTATAGTATAGGGGGCCCCCCCCCCCCCCCCCCGCCCCCACCCCCCCCCCCGCCCCCCCCCCCCCCACCCTCCCGACCCCCCCCCGCCCCCCCGCCAGCACAAAAAAACGAAGTACCCCTACATTGGCATCCTCCAAAATAACAAACCACAACAGCCACCGTCAACGCTGGAGACCCGCAGTTCTTTCAGCCTCCCAAAATCACGAATCTAGGGGTTCTACCTTGGACCCTTAAGGTTGTACCCTTGGGTTTTGGGGTCCTTTTTTTTGAGGATCCCTAAGGGAATATACGGGCCATATTAGGAATACATTAAGGGGAACCTTTAAGGGTACAACCTTAGGGGTACGAGTCTGAATCCCTTGATCGAATGAATTGGCCCAAACTTGACACCCTCTCTGGCCCGGGAGCCGTGCGCTCCAAACCCCAAACTCCCCTATACCCCAACTCCTGAACTCCCTGAGCCCTAAACTGCCTGAACTGCCTAAACCCTAAGTCCTAAACTCCCTAAACTCCCATATCCCGGAACCCTCAACTCAGCCTCACGTTCCCTGACCCTAAACCCCAAACCCCAAACCCCAACCCCAAACCCTAAACACTAACCCTAAACCCGAAACCCGAAACCCGAAACCCTAAACCTTTCTTTGGGACTCCCGACAGGGCCGCGGTCGTAATGGGGGAGCACGCGCGGATAATCATGCTCAGTGAAAGTGGGATCAAGGACCTGGGTCTGTGAGAGTTGAAGGCTTGGTTAGGGTTTTAGGGTTTTAGGGTTTAGGGCTTAGGGTTTTAGGGTGTTGGGGTTTTAGGGTTGTAGTTGTAGGGTTTAGGATTTTACTCTAAACCCTAAACCCTAAACCCTAGACCCTAAACCCGCTTGAAGTTGAAGGTGCTGGAAAGAGTAGGAGCGGCTCGATGGGTTTAGGGTTTAAGGGCAGAGACTCTAGAGTGTGATTAGGGTGTGACGTTTGTGGGTTTAGGGTTTAGGGTTTAGGGTTTAGGGTTTAGGGTTTAGGGTTTAGGGTCTAGGGTCTAGGGTCTAGGTTCTAGGGTTTTATAGGGATTAAGGATGCGAGGTCAAGAGGAATAGGTCGAAGTTCTACCTCCCACCGCCTTAAGACTCTTTGATCCCAAGCCCTTGAAGAACGTACCTCACAAATCGTTTACAGGGAGTGCCCCCCCCCCCCCCCTGTACTACAACTGCTATACCAAGCCCTAAGCCCTAAACGCTCAACCCGAAACCCTGTACTATGCTACTTTTTTGAAGATTCAAGGGGCGTAAACAACCTTCCATCTTTTCCCCCTCTCAAAACCCATCGTCTCACTTCATCATCTGAAGTACTAAGCCCTAAATCCTAAACCCCTGAGCCCTAAAACCCTAAAGCCTAAACCCCTTACCCCTAAAACCCTAAACCCTAAAGCCTATGCCCGAAACCCTAAACCCTAAACTCCAAACCCTAAAAACCCTAAGCCCTGACCTAAATCCCAAACCCTAAAACCCAAGCCCTAAACCCAAAACTCCAAACCCTGAAAACCCTGAAAGCCCCAAGCCCTAAACTCCAAACACTAAAACCCTAAACCCTAAGCCCTAAACCCTAAAACCTCAACCCCTAAACCCTAAACCCTAAACCCTAAACCCTAAACCCTAAACCCTAAACCCTAAACCCCAAACCCTAAACCCTTCGAGCTCCCAGGCATGGAGAGAAGGTTCGAGCCGATGTTGAGCGAGAAGGCGGCCGCGAGGCAGAGAATCGTGAGCATCTCTTGCTTCCTCGTCTTGGGGTTTAGGGTTTAGGGTTTAGGGTTTAGGGTTTAGGGTTTAGGGTTTAGGGTTTAGGGTTTAGGGTTTAGGGTTTAGGGTTTAGGGTTTAGGGTTTAGGGTTTAGGGCTTAGGGTTTAAGGTTTAGGGGTTTAGGGTTGATCCTTGAGGTTTCACAGGGCTTTGGGTCTACGTGTTGGGAGTGCGAAGGGTCTTGGAATCTAGTCTGGGGTCTGAGGTTCTGTAGGGTCTTTGGCTGTTGGGAACTTTGGGCTTCTAGTATATGAGTATATGAGGTACCGTTCTGAGTACTGGTATCCCCAAACTTATATACACTCGCCAAGAACCATAAGGACCCACAATACACTCACCCCAATAAGGGACCCCTGATTTCGGAAACCACCATATGGGGACTATATGGGGCTTAGTCTATCGGGAAACAGCGCGCTTAACCCACAGCTTTTTTGCGGACGCACGACGGGTAGATGAAGAAAGGGCTCAGGGCTCAGGGTTCAGGATTTCGGGTTGAGAGTTTGGTAGACGAGCCTGTGCTTCTCCTTTTTTGGGCTTCATGCCATCGACACCGTTTCGGAGTGTTTTGATCTGCTCTATTCAAGACTACATGGAGGTTGGCGACAATAGGGGACCAGCGAAATACCCCCAAGTAGTAAATGAATAACCCTTTATTATCAATTCGGCTTCATTATCCCTAGTCGCCTTAATTATGGGGAGGGGGGGGGGGAACCTAGAAAAGGTAGTATAGAGTGGGGGGGTAGTAGGGGAACCCATGGGGGTAATGACTGGTTGGCCTTGCCTCGAGATGGAACCATTTTCGGGTTTAGGGTTTAGGGTTGAGGGTTTAGGGTTTAGGGTTGAGAGTTTAGGGTTTAGGGTTTAGGGTTGAGGGTTTAGGGTTTAGGGTTTAGGGTTGAGGGTTTAGGGATTAGGGTTTAGGGTTTAGGGTTTAGGGTTTAGGGTTTAGGGTCTTACAGTGGAGGCCCTCCACCTTGCATCACTGCCGCCGCGTCGGAAGTGAGCTGTATATTCTTCCTCATGAGGGCAACATAGGGAATTCTTGAGCAGCCTCTGCCATCTGCAGCTCCCCAGATCCCTCACCCTAAACCCTAAACCCTAAACCCTAAACCCTAAACCCTAAACCCTAAACCCTAAACCCTAAACCCTTATTGTAAGTGGCCCTAAACTCACATCGGGTGTGTCAAAGCTCTCCAGGCTGGTGGGCACTCACAGAGGGATTCGTATCTTGGTTTTTTGGGGGCTCTAAAGCGAATAGTAGTCAAGGGTTTAGGGTTTAGGGTTTCAGTAGCCCCCGATCTTGGGATCAGTTTAGGGCATAGGGCCACAGGGCTTTGGGCAAGCCCCCAAGCCCGAAACTCGAAACGGCCCTATTTTCCGGGTTCAGGGTTCAGGGTTTAGGGTTTAGGGCTTAGAGTTCAGGGCTCAGGGTTCAGGGTTCAGGGTTCCGGGTTCAGGGTTCAGGGTGCAGGGTTGAAGGTTCAGGGTTTAGGGTCTAGGGTTTTAGTGTTTAGGGTTTACTTACCCTAAACCCTAAACCCTAAACCCTAAACCCTAACCCCTTCCCTCTCATCCTGGGCCCCTTGCGAAATCTTCTGAGGCGTGTATGGCCGCCTGATCGCCCTGGAGCCCAGCAGCACCAGGCACATGATGCTGAAGCTGACCTTGTTCGAGCTTGGGGTTTGGGGTTTAGGGTTTAGGGTTTAGGGTTTAGGGTTTGGGGTTTAGGGTTTGGGGTTTAGTGTTGAGGGTTTAAAGGACCCTCTGCACCCTAAAGTTGGGACCACCTGCCAGAAACCCTGAACTGGAATCCCGAAACCCGAAACCCTAAATCCCTAAAGTTCTAAACCCTATTTGAAATCCTAAAACCCTATTTGAAATTCTAAACCCAATTTAAGACTTTAAACGCTAACCCCTTTTAGGCTTCTCGTGCTCTGAGAGCTCTCGGCTTCTGGGCTTTGAGCTCGCGCACCGGTCTTGCGTGAAGCTTTTGGCTTTGTGGCTGGAAGCCCATGG